CCCCGAAGCGATGGTGCCCGCTGTAGTTTCTCCAGAGGTGGCGGCGTGTGCTGCAGAACCTTCCGAAGTGGCGGTGCTCGCTTCAGCTCCTTGCGTGGTGGTGGTGCCTAGAAACGCACATTCGACCTGTCACGAAATGGAAATCAGTCACCAAGGAGGTTTTGTATTTGCACAGATTGTACATTACAGTCACAACCAGGATCCAGATATTTTGTGCGCAAATTCAATTTTAAATCAGTTGTAAGTCTTAAGAGCAGCTATTTTATTTTATTTTTATTTTATTTTACTCTTGCAATCCACTTATAATGTTAGTCAAGGATTTTTTACCTTTTCACAAAAAAGATTTCGTTTTTTATTTACACCCTCTGTGTCACGAATCCGGTCCATGAACTTTCCATTTCATTGACTCTCGCACTACACACTGTTGCACATCACCCCGGACTACATTTCCCATCATGCATTGCACTGATTGCACTCAGCACGAATTGCACACACCTGTTTACACTGATTGCACCCAGCTGTTTCATATCACTCCCTCACTATATAACACTCACTCTTATCCCTTCCCTCTGCCGAGTATTGTTTCAGCATTTATCACTCCCCTAGAGATAGCTACTTTACGGAGCCCTTGTCATTGCCTTAGCCTTAGCCCTAGTCATTTCTCCTTAGCCTTAGCCCTAGTCATTTGCCTTAGCCTTAGCCTTAGCCTTCTCGGTTTCTGATCTTCGCCTGGTTCCCTGGATTCACCCCTTTTGTCTTGCCCCTTTTGATTCTGTCTGCCGATCGTCGACCTGCTCTAGCCCTAGGACTATTCTTGTGTTTTGCCCACCATATACCTGTTTGCCCTCATCTGACCCATGCCTGTTTCATGACCACGTCTCTGTCTTCGTTTCAATAAAGCTTGCATATGGATCCGCACGTCTCACGTCTCGTCAGCCCCATTACAATTCCATAGTTTGTTAGGCTGTTGTAGCCTAAATGTTTGTGTAATATTTTTTATTTTTATTTTTTTTTTTTTGTTGAATCAAAAAATAAAATATTTCTAAAGCTACAATTTGTATTGTCTACTTGGTACTTTTTCATTTGACTAAATTATCTTTAAATAACCTTTTGTGGGTATTTTCGGTGTCAAATTTGTTTTGCGATTAATTAATCGAAACATCATGTTAATTAATTAGATTAATAATTTGAATCGACTGACAGCCCTAATTTAAACATTTACTTCATATATTTCTTCAGACAGAATCATCACTATTCTTTTTCCACTGAATTATGCAATCTGATGAACATTAGTGGCTTCTTGTGTTTTCAGCAGATTTATATGCAAGTAATCAACATATAAAACGGGGTCCTATGTTCCCAGGATTCATGCTCTCCAGTGTAATGGTCTGTTAACACATTAATTCACTTGATGTTGAGAAGGTACATTATGGAAGACTGAAATTAAATAATTTGGAAAGTTGATGTAGATATTCAGTGCAGTTGGCTTAGTTATCCATATGATCATATGATAATTGAAATTTGAGTGATTAGAACATACTGTATAGCCTGAGGAACATAGTTATGTGTTTCTCATGTGCAATATAAATCTGGGGAAAACTAAAGCAACTATGTTGGCTATGTGTCTAGTCAGAATGACTCGTGAGCAGCAATCTTTTTATTTTGGTTATGTAATTTATTTATGGGCCTTAGGTCCAATTAAGGATGGAGCAGATTGAGTAAGTAATTTATGTACCTCTCTGCCAAAATAGAGTCTGCAAGAGAAGGCGTTTAGTCATATTGCGTATATGGTGCACAAATCTGTGCTCTTTGAGTCCTGTACTCTCAGCGGGTTATGATTGGTTGAAAGATAAGCTCACATCTGATTTGCTAAAAAGTATGATGGACCAGGATTTTAAATACACACACACACACACACACACACACAAATCCAATTCACACGTGTGCATATATTGAGAACAATGCTTGCATAATAAAACTGTCAAAAACTTTTGAATGAATCTAATGAAGACTAAACAAAATAATCTTCAACACACACATTTTAGATTTTTATTTAGTTTTTGTGTTTATTTTATTCATTATTGACCATAGAAAAAATTGGGAGAGGATGTCGACACATTTATATAATCTTACCTCAGTGTTTCCAGTTTACAGCGAGGATCCTTCAGTCCATCAGAGAGCAGCTTGACTCCTGACGCTTCTAGTTTATTTCCAGTCAGATCCAGTTCTCTCAGGTGTGAGGGGTTTGATCTCAGAGCTGAAGCCAGAGCAGCACAACCTTCATCTGTGACTCCACAATCACTCAACCTGTAGAGAACAATGACACTCTTCAGTCTCTCAGTTCAGGAAACACTGACATAAATGATATATCATTTTTCCTTTTACTGCTTTGGTAAGAAAGTACATGCTAAAGTGCTAAATGTGATCATGTTTTATCAGTGTAGTGAGTGTTGTCAGTGTGACTTACTGAACTGATCTGGATTCTTTAATTACAGGCAGCAGCTTCTGAAGAACTTCATCTGCTGTATTTTGGGCTCCAATAAACTGTTTCAGATTAAACTCGTCCATCATCTGCTCTGATGTCAGCAGCACATAAACCAGAGCTGACCACTGTGAAGAGGAGAGTTTGGTTTCTCCTATTTGTCCAGATCTCAGATAATCCTGGATCTCCTGCATCAGTGAATCATCTCCCAGTTCATTCAGACAGTGGAAGAGATTGATGGATCTCTCTGAAGAGTGATTCTCCCTGATCTTCTGTTTGATGAACTCAACTGTTTCCTCTTTGTTGTAGGAGCAGCTTCCTGTCTGTGTCACTAGTTCTCGTAAGAGAGTCTGATTGGACTCCAATGAGAGACCCAGAAGAAAATGCAGGAAAAGGTCTAAATGTCCATTTTTACTTCGTAAAGCTACATCTACGACTCTCTTATGCAGCTCAGATACTGAATGATATTTAAGCCAGTTTACAAATTTAGATAACACACTTTGTTCAGTTTGGTCAAACACATTTATGTAGTTCTTTGTAAAGGAGAGGTGTGCATATAGAGCTGCTAGATGTTCCTGGATGCTCAGATGAACAAAGCAGAAGACTTTCCCCTGAAACAAGCCCAACTCCTCTCTGAAGATCTGGAGATGATTGTATTGGCCAGACTCTGATCTCTGATTCTCTTCCTTAAGTATTCCTGCTTCTGTGGCTCACTGAAGCCTCGTACCTCTGTCACTCGATGGACGCACTCAGAGGGGACGAGATCAGCTGCTGCTGGTCTGGAGGTGATCCAGATGAGAGCAGAGGGAAGCAGATTCCCCACAATGAGGTTCATCAGCAGCTCGTACATCTGAGTGAGAGTCTTGGGCATCTCTCCACTCTCTGCTGGACTCAACATCTTCTCGAGAACAGCGGCTGAGATCCAGCAGAACACTGGGATGTGGCACATGATGTAGAGGCTCCTTGATGACTTCAGGTGTGAGATGATCCTGTTGGCCAGACTCTGATCACTGATCCTCTTCATTAAGTATTCCTCCTTCTGTGGGTCATTGAAGCCTCGTACCTCTGTCACTCGATGGACATACTCAGAGGGGACGAGATCAGCTGTTGCTGGTCTGGAGGTGATCCAGATGAGAACAGAGGGAAGCAGATTCCCCACAATGAGGTTCATCAGCAGCACATCCACTGAGACTGATTCAGATATATTACACAGTTTCACTTTACTCTTAAAGTCCAGAGACAGACGACACTCATCCAGACCATCAAAGATGAACAGCACTTTATATTTATCACTGGATATTTCCATTTCTTTGGTTTCAGGGAAAAATACATGAAGAAGATCAGAAAGACTGAGTGTTTTGTCCTTCATCAGGTTGATTTCTCTGAAAGGAAGTGGAAATATGAGCTGGACGTCCTGATTCTCTTTCCCTTCAGCCCAGTCCACAATGAACTTCTGCACAGAGACTGTTTTTCCAATGCCAGCGACTCCCTTTGTCAGCACAGTTCTGATGGCTTTGTCTTGTCCAGGTAAAGCTCTAAAGATGTCATTGCATTTGATTGCTGTGTCCTCTGTTGCTGCTCTCCTGGATTGTGTCTCAATCTGTCTCACCTCATGCTCATTATTAATCTCTCCACTCTCACTCTCTGTGATGTAGAGCTCTGTGTAGATCTCATTCAGGAGAGTTGGGTTTCCCTGCGTCGCTGTTCCTTCATACAGATGCTCAAACTTACTCAGCAGATTTGATTTGAATCTGCTTTGGACCAGTTGAGAGTCACGACTGAAAGTATAAAATACTAGATTACAACATACATTAGATGAGTAAAAGGGACAGATATCTTTATATCTAGACATAAATGTTTTACCTCATATTAGATGACATGTGTTTTCCTGTAAATGTTCCTGGAGTGTCCACAGACTGCTCACTAATTATGGACAAATATGGACAGAACAGAGACAATACCACTGAGTAGAGATAACAGAAACAATCATTAAGATGGGTCATTCTGTGTTAAATCAGCCAGCAAAAAATATTACATTTGTTTTTTGGTGCAAGAAATATAGAAATAAAGAACAAAGCCAAAATATTAATAGAACAGAGACAACAGTATAAAGAATAGAATAAAGAGTAAAGAATCACAGTTAATTTTATGTTTAGTTGACAAAAACTGAAGGACTGTTCTCGAATGTGCAGCTGTGTCTCAGTTGTCCTTACAACAGAGGTTAGTTAACCAAACCCACCGCTTTTCAAGGGTCCTGTCTATGTCCATGTCCATCAAACAAAATGAAGCTTGCTGATATACCTGATGATTTTGGAGTAAAATGCTTAAAATGCAGTTCATCATCTTACAAGCTTTAGAATTAGTTTATGTTGAAAACATAAACATAATAGTAATATAATGGTGTCACAAATTCAGTCCATGGACTTCCGTTTATTCACCACCAGAGGTCACCCTTTCCATTTCATTGACTCTCGCACAACACAAACTGTTGCATAGCACCCCGGACTACATATCCCATCATTCTTTGCACGATTTGCACACTGCATGATTGCACACAGCTGTTTCTAATCACCTCACTCACTATATAACACCCACTCTAACCACATTTCT